TTCCTCTTCCTGCATCAAGCCTGAAAACCGGAAGGCGCCTAACCCAGGGAAAAGTAGGCTGCTGTCTTCTTGTCGTCCACCCATAACTGGGTGCCCTTTCTGACTTCTCTGGCATAGCTATAGAGGAAGAGATGGAAAACCTGGGAGGAACCTCTGGATCCTTTGTACATTTACAGTTGACTTTGGGAAGGGGATCTTGTAGGTGTTTTTAGACCCCTGCTCATCTTGGGTACCGTGCCCCAGCCTTGTTCACTCCCACAACTCCTGGGAGTCTGGATGTCTGCCCTGCTTCTGGCCTCTGAGGAGCTACCTGTCAACCCACATGTTTTGGGTGAGAATAAACTACTATACAACTAGCTCACTCTGCAGCGTTCTGAGAGTGCAGGCAGCCCCCTTTCAGCTTTCTCCTGTAGAGGCAGCTGACCTTGTGTATTGTTTTCCTTGCCAGCCTGGTGTGGGAGACCAGATGACACATCTTGCCTTTTCAGAAACATGGAGTTTGTAACACAGCTGTCCCCAAAGGAATTTTTCAAATCTTCAGCTCTGACAACTGATTGCTCCTGTATTTGTGAGGAGGGTCTTTAGAATTATAATGAATTTACAGATATGTCCTTTGGAATTCTGCTTCTTAATCTAGCAACCTCACCTTGTATATGAAATTCATTACTTTATATTCTTTTAAAAAATATTTTACAACTGGGCATGGTGGTGGTGCACGCCTTTAGTACCAGCACTTGGGAGGCAGAGGCAGGTGGATCTCTGTGAGTTCAAGGCCAGCCTCAGCCTAGGCTATATAGTGAGTTCCAGGCCAGCTAGGGCTACAGGGAGACCCTGTCTCTAATATATATATATATATAATTCTTTATGTGTATGAGTGTATTGCCTGCATGTGGGTAGGTGTACTTGTGTCGTGCAGTGTCCGTGGAGATCAGAAGAGGGTGTCAGATCTCCTGGAACTGGAGTTATGAATGGTTGTTAGCTTCTAAATGGGTGCTGGGAATTGAACTCAGATCCTCTGGAAGAGCAGCCAGTGATCTTAACTGTGGAGCCATCTCTCTATCCCTACTTTAGGTTCTTGATTGAAATTTTCATATTTATTTATTTATGATTCTTGTGACCAAGAGCATCTACTGAGTGCAACCACAGCTCTCCTCAGCTGTCAGTCTAGGACAGTTTGCTTACAGTTAGCTTGCTGATAAATCCTGCCCTTGGGCATGTTTTGGTTTAATGTACATAATTTTTAATAATTTTTCTTTGGTCTAATGCCAATATTTATAGATTGATAAATTTTACTTTAAAAAATTCCCAGCTTTGCCAAGCATGGTGGCTTACACCTTTAATCCTAGCACTTGGGAGGCAAAAACAGGTAGATTTCTATGAAATTGAGGCCAGCCTGGTCTACATAATGAGTTGCAGGCCCCTGAGCTACAGAAAGACACTCTAAAAAAAAAAAAAAAAAAAAAAAAAAAAAATTCCGAACTTGAAAAAATAGAAGGCATGGTAACTCAACGGAGCTCCATCTCCAAGGCATTCAGAAAATAGAGGCAATGTTTCTGTTATGCGTGTCTCTAAAGATATGCCAGGAGAGCCTTGGAAGGGGCATTTCTTTGGGAAGAGCTGCAGCACAGTGGTAGAATGCTTCCCTAGCCATGTGTAAGCTTTGGGTTTGATCCCTAGTATTAGGATGGAGGTGGGCTAGAAATGCAGTCTCTCTCTCTCTCTCTCTCTCTCTCTCTCTGTAGGAAGCCTGGTCTTCCCCCATCTGTCATCTATCTTTCCCCTTACACCAGGGGTACACAAGCCCACTTTTAAGCAAATCTGTAATGTGTGAAAAAAACCTCCAGAAAGTATTTTGGTTTCTTGACTGTTGTTTGTTTTGAGACAGGGTCTCCCTATAGCCCCAGCTGGCCTGGATCTCACTCTGTAGATCAGACTGGCCTCAAACTCACAGAGATCTGCCTGCCTCAGCTTCCTAGGGGCTAGAATTAAAGGCATGCACCACTACACCCAGCAGATGGCAGTCTTCTTAACTATTTATTATAGAATCAGCATTGTGTGTGTGTGTGTGTGAGAGAGAGAGAGAGAGAGAGAGAGAGAGAGAGAGGCTCGAAATGACATTGGAAAATTAAACCATTGCTGTAATTACTGTTACTGTGCAGGAAAATATGTGTGAGGGGTATGGGGTTAATCTTGATGGTCCACTTGATGAAATTTAGGATAATCGTGGAAACAAACGCTTGGGCATGTCTGAGAAGAGTTTTAAATTTTTACTTTTTATTTTATGTGTATGGGTATTTTGCCTGCATGTGTGTAAGTGAACCTGTGTTGTGCAATGCCTGAGGAGGTCTGAAGATGTTGTTGGATCCCCTGGAACTGGAGTTACAGATGTTTATTAACCATCATGTGGGTGCCAGGAATTGAACCCAGGTTCTCTGCAAGAGTAGCCAGTACTCTTAACTGCTGAGCCATTTCTCCAGCCCCTGAGAGGAGTTTTAAAGTTAGACTAATTGAGGTAGGAAGACATGTCCTACATATGGATGGTACCACTCCAAGGGCTGGAGTGTGGGCTGAATATAAAGGAGAAAGCCAGCTGAGCACCAGCACTTACTGCTCTCTGCATCCTGGCTATGCATGTATCCTTGAAGTATGAACCAAAAAGAAACCATTCCTTCCTTAAATTGCTCTGTCAGGTGTCTTATCTCAGCAAGAAGTACTAACCCTAACAATGAAGTGTATTTCTTCTTTTAAAGACATTGCAACAGCATTCTGCTCCAATCTCTTCATACTAAGAATTGAAGTTAGGGTCTTGTGCCTCCTATGCAAGCACTCCACCACTAAGCTACACCCCTAGCTCTTTCAAGATTTCGAGACTTGGCTTTGCTCACTTGCTTAGGCTGGTCTTGAATTTGTAATCCTTCTGTTTCAGCCTTTTGAGTAATCCCGAGTAGTCAGGATTACAGGTATGTGTTACTGTGCCCTGCTAGGGCTTGATTTTTTTTTTTTTTTTTTAAATACACTTAGAATAATTGGCGGGAGGTATTGACTACAAAAGGTGTTAAATTCTAGCTTCTCATTTGTGTTATGCTTCTCCTTGGTGCCTGATGTTTGGGTTTATAGCAAAAGGGAGGGTGTTCTCTGTCTTTAGAAAGAATCCAGGGCAGTGTGGTGCTTTGTGTTCAGGTCTGAGAACCACAGCAGGATGGCTGCCCCATGGCTGCCACCACCTGGAAATAATCAACAAGCATTTGCAAGTTGGTGATGCTTCCTTTCCATAGACTGCCAGAATAGGACTGTTGAAAGAGCATTAAATTCTGAAACCCTTTTCATAATTCTATTTTTAGTTTTTATAATTGAAGCCTTTTTTGTTTTTTCCTACCAGTTTTTGTAAGTGCTTGATATATTAAGAAAAAAATAAATAAAATCTCATCTCTTTATCTAAGTCAGAGCAAAATAGATTATCTGAGGAAACCTTCACTTGCCTAACAGAATTCTCTTGGGTTTTGTGTCCCAGTTGGTATTTTGAGTATTAAGATGTTTTCTCTTGGGTTGGGGAAATGACTCAGTGGGTAAGAGCACTTGTTGCATAAGCATAAAGACCTGAGTTCAAATCTCCACCACCTACATAAAAAGCCAGGTATGTCATCCTTGGCTGTAACCCCAGCTCTGTGGGTGCAGACAGGAGGCTCACTGGAGCTTTCTGGCTGCCAGCCTGGCTCCAGGTTCAGTGACCCTGTCTCAAGGGAATAAGGCAGAGAGTAGAGAGTGATACAATACAGCAAGACACCTGTGGTCCTTCTCTGCCCCCCCCCCATGGGCATGCATGCTCACACACGTGTGTTTCACATACATCTTCTCTCACTGCAGCCCAGATGATTGTAAAATCTAGGCACCTGGCTCAACTGGTTTTTGCAGAATGACTCCTATGTGGTCCTTGTGGTGTGTGTAACTTCTCTCTGGTTTAAAATCTGAATTCTTCGAAAGTCTTGATGCTTGGCCTTTTCGATTCATGATATCTTGGTCATGGTATTCTGTTCTAGCCTCAGTGAGTCAGGCCAGCTGACAACTGCATCTTGTTTTGCATACACACGCACTGTGATCATTGAGCAATGATGGAAGAAACAGTCCTGTGGTGCTCCCATCATTTTCCTTGTACTTTTGAGGTCACAGGAGATTTCCTTCAAGTGAAATAGCTGTTATTTTCCTGGTTTATTTTGTGCATGCTCTGAACCATGAAATCGATGCTTTGTATTTCGTTTGAGCTGTGGAAAATCTTGGCAACAGATCTGAAATCCTGCAGCAAGCACCCCGGACCCAGAGACCTTCACTGACATGTGCTCTCTTCCTCCCAGCTGCAGTTGATTGTTGTCCATATGCTTATTTCCCCCTTGGGCTTCCAGAGTCTTTTTCTCAAAGCCTGTGGTCTATATAGTTCTGTAAAACTGCTTTAATCTCACTTTAAAACAAGGCACAAGATGTTAATGACTTAAATGTATTGCAGACATCTTACACATACTTGATCTTAAATTTCATTGAGCATTTTCTATGGCCTTGGAGCTCACAGTTTTCTGTTGCCTCAGAGAAGACTGCTGCTGTGGGTCTGAGGGTCCCACCCCAGTTAGGCTCTCATTTGGTAGATCCAAAGCTTAGAGGAAGCTGAGATTGCTTCTGATCTCTTTCTTCTCTAGGGTAGAATCTGTGGTTTACCAAATTTTAGTTTCTGGAGGTTTATGCAGGGAAGCGATTCTCTATCCGTTCAGGACTGGCTGGCCTAGAGGACTGGGAAATAGCTGACACTGAACCTGGTTCCTCACAAAGTAGCTATTAAGTAGTTTTGTGAGTTAACTTGCTTACAGCTTAGGTATTTGGTTCTGTTCTTTGAAGCAGATGAATTTTATTCTTTACCAAGGCTGTCTGTCCCCATGGTTTAGGTCTGGGACTGCAACCTATGGTGGCAGTGATGGCTTGACTTTAGTGACGTTTTCTCCTTTTTTTCTTTCCAGAGTATGATCGGTTGGGCTTCCTCCTGAAGCTGGACTCCAAACTGTGAGTAGACTGAGAAAATGGCTCAGTGGTAGAATCTGTGAGAGCTGGGGTCTAGCTTTGAAGGGTCACCTCTCTCATCCCTGTGGTTTTTGGGGGGATTCTCTGGGGCCTCTGTGTTCAGGTTGTCAGCAGAATCTTTACTATCCATAGCGACCTGGACAGGATAGGGTCGGGTATGAATGTAAGACCTTACATTAGACTGGCACAGGCAGCTCATTACAGAAGGACACCGCAGGAGTTTGTGGGCCAGGAAGGCCTCTGGAAAGGCTTTTCCTACAGTGGGAGTGATGGAGAAAGAGTCGAAGATGCTCTGCCACCTGTGTGCAGTCCTCCTGTGCTGCATCCCGTCTTCTCCATATTAAACGCCTGTTCTTCTCGCCACAGGCAAACCCTTCTTTCCCTCTGCCTTGGTAGAGGTTTGTTATCTTGCCTGAAATTCCCTTTCCTGTTAGTCTACTTGGAAAACTTAAAAATTATTTCCTCCATACACAAAATTATTTCTTTTTCTATGTTTCCTTTGAATTTTCTACTCCTATTACTAATTATCTGGTGTGCTAGATGGCTTTGGTGTCAACTTGACACACCTGGGTTGAGGGAGCCTCAGTTGGGGAATTGCCTCTATTGGACTGGCATGTGGCCATGTCTGAGGGGCATCTTCTTGATGAGTGATGTGGGAGGGCCCAGCCCACTGTGGGTGGTGCCACCCCTGGGCAGGTGGGCCTGTGTTGCGTAAGAAAGCAGGCTGAGCAGGGGCCAGGGGGAGCAAGCCAGTAAGCAGCATTCCTCCATGGCCTGTGCTCCAGCTCCTGCCTCCAGGTTCCTGCCCTGAGTTCCTACCTTGGGCTCCCAGATGTACTGTGACCTGGGATATGTAAGCTAAATAAACCCTTTCCTCCCCAAGTTGATAGTGGTCAGAGTATTTTGTCACAGCAATGAAGAACAAACTGGGACACCTGTGCCATGATCATTAATTGATTAAGGGCACAGGATTAGAGTCAGATGTAGCTTGATTCAAATCTCAGATTGCCACTTAATTATTTTTATAATCTTGGGGAAGCCATTTAGCCATTTTGAACCTGTTTCATCAATAAGATGAAGACAGTATACACATTTTACATGTCGTTGTAAGGATTTAATTGAAATGATTAACTCAGGGAGCTTTCAAGTACTGGGTATCCAGTTCTCCAGCATTCTTCCCTGGTCTCTCTGGTATGTAGACAGCATAGGTACAGGTTTGTTGGGTGCCCAGCAAACACTGAATGCTTGGATGAATAGATGGGTGGGTGGATGGGTGGTTAGTGGGTGGGTGCTTCAGGTGATGACTGTCACACCTACATACACTAAATTAAACCAGAAGCTGTGTGGCTTTCCCACTGCGTTGTCTGGCATCTGGCCCCTCCTCCTGGATGCTTGACTCTGGTGTCTCAAACTCTGAGTTCAGGCATTGCAGCTCTCCCACTTTCACACATCACAGAAGCAGCTACAAGATCTGTCTCTTTACAAGGCGGGCAGAGAGAGAGCTTAGCCACATGTAAACATCCAAGGAATAGAGCTTGATTATGCTACAGAGCTGCAGGCTTCACTCTTAGAAATTTTTTATTTAGTGCTCTGAACGAAAAAAAAAAAAAATCAAGAATAAGCCATAAGCAATTGAAATGCCACCAGACCAGAAAAGAGACAGTAATTACCAAGTCAGAGCACGTGGATGAGCAAAGGAGATGTTATGGAGGACATGCTAACCACAGTGTTTAAGTTGTTTTCGCCTCTGAAAGAGGAGGAGGAGACAGCCAGCCTTGCTGCTGATAGCTGAGTAGTACGGAATAGACTTGCTGAGTAGCTTGCTGCTGTGTTCCAAGCTGGTTCCATGAACCATCTGAGTTGACTTGGACTTTGGCCAAGGAATTGGCTTGGCACTGTTTGATTTAATTCACAATGTAAGGTGCAAGCTAGGCTCTTCCTGCCTTGTGCTACAGAAACTTTTCCAGCCCGATGCTTTCTTCACAGGGAAACACAGATGTATAGAACTTCTTTCATGGGGAAGTTTCCAAGTCATAGCTTCTGCCTTGGGGAAATTCATCAGCAAAATTTCAGTCCCTTTTTTTTTTTTTTTTGGTTCTGTTGTACTCTATTTGTAATGTTAGGAATGGTCATGGACTTAGATCAGGAAAACTGGATTTGAATTCTGCCTTTGCTGCTTAGTATTATGTGACCTTGATGCCCATTTTAGCTTTCCGAACCCCAGTTTTCCTTTATGAAAAATGTAGAATATTAACATCCACTTATGTTCACTGTAGGGTTTTTTTTTTTTTTTTTTTCTTTTTGAGCCAGGGTTTTCCTGTAGCCCCTGCTGTCCTGGAACTTACTATATAGACCAGGCTGGCCTCGGACTCACAGAGATCCACCTGCCTCTGCCTCCCAAGTGCTGGGACTACAAGCGTGTTGCCACCACGCCCGACTAGTTTTTTTTGTTTGTTTTTTTGTTTTGTTTTGTTTTGTTTAATTTTATGTGTATGTGTATATTGCCTGCATGTAGGCAAGTGTGCCTGTGTCATGCAATGCCCACAGAAGATAGAAAGGCTGTTGGATCCCCTGGAACTGGAGTTACAGATAGTTGTTAGCTGCCATGTGGATGCTGGGATTCGAACCTGGGTCTTCTGCAAGAATAGCCAGTGTTCTTAACTGCTGAGCCATCTCTCCAGACCTGTGTTCACTGTAGTTTTATGCAGAATTAAAAAAGTGTTACATAAAACTACAATAGGTATACAAATCTAAGGATTTCTGTATTTATCTTATTTGCAATTAATTTAGCTTTTTATGTAGAATTCTTATATAAAAATTTACATGTTCTTAGAAAACTCTCAGCCATCCTGTCTCTATGTTGTCTCTGCATGACTCTGCCTTTCTACTCTCCCTACTCCAAAAGAACTCACTGACTTTTCGACCTCGTGTTAGAGAATTCTAAAGGATTCAGAGGCTAGAGCCCCTGGACTTTTTAACTTTTCTTCATATTTGTCACTTTTTGACCCTTTGTATGCAAAACTGTAACCCCAGAGGACTCAGTGTACAGATAAAGTAGAGAGAACCCCAAACCCCCATGCCAGGATTAAGAGAAAGATTACCCTAGCTGTGAATGGATTAGAATAAAAAGTTAATGAGGCAAAAGTACTTGCTGTCCATGCCAGGGACTCATCGCTCCAATAGTCCAAGAAATCCCAAGCCTGTGTGTAAATCTGGCAAATGTCGCCAAGCACCTGACAGAGTGAATTCAAACCATCTCTAGGAAAATATGTGAACTCCTGGCACGTAACTGGTTAAGGAAACAAGTAGCTCACGGTGAAAAATAATATACAAGGAAGCAAGCTGTCACTAGTGAGAACCATGGAAATGGCGGACCACAGAAGAAAGCCCACCATGACTTCTCAAATTGGAATGAGAAGTTCTAAAACAATAGTATGTACTCTATTTAAGGAAATGACACACAAGATTAAACTATGTACGTAGATTTTGGAACTGTAAAAATAGGGTTTAAAAAGGCAGTGAGGGCCAGTGTAGGGCAGGTTAGGGTGCTTGCTGTTGAGGCTGATGAACTGAGTTTGGTACCTGGAGCCTGCATGATGAAAGAAGAGAACTGACTCCCACAAGGTGTCCTCTGACCCCTATATGCACACTATGGCGTGCATGCATGCATGCATAAATCTTAAATAAGTAATAAATAAATAAAATTTTAAAGTAAAGTAAAATGGGTCTAGAAAGATGACTCAGCAGTTATGAGCACTGGCTGCTCTTGCAGAGGACCTGAACTGGTTCACAACACCACATGGTGGCTAACAACCATCCATAACTCTAGTTCCAGGGAACCCAACAACTTCTGGCTTCCACGGGCACTGCATGCAAGTGGCACACTTATATACATGCAAACAAAACACACATACACATAAAATAGAAATAAAATATTAAAAATTAAAATAATGACCTTCTAAAATTGAGATCTACAATAGCCAAAATTAATAACTTAATAGGAGGGTTTTCGCTACAGATTAGACACGAGTGAAGACAGAGTTAGTGAACTGGAAGATAAGCCAGAAGAAATTATTGCAGAAATTGGCAAAATTTTCTTTAAAGGTCCAAATCTTCCTTCCTTCTTCCTTTCTATTTCCCTCCCTCCCTCCCTCCTTCACTTTCTATTTCTCTCCCCCTCTCTCCCTCCCTGCATATGGAGAACAGAACAGGATGTTGAGTGTCCTGCTTTATCATGCTCTGCCTTGGTCCCTTGAAACAGGGTCAGTCTTTCACTGAACCTAAAGGTTTCTGTTTGGACTAGGCTATCTGGCCAGCCAGTGAGCTCCCTGGATCCTACCGTCTCCACCCTCTGACACTAGGGTTACAGGTATGTATGGTTATGCGTAGCTTTTATTTGGATGCTGAGATTGAACTCAGATCCTTGTGCTTGCATGGCGAACATTTTACCCACTAAGCTGTCTCCCTAGCCCTTAGGTTTTAAAATATTATGCTTCTTTTGAATTTGCTCATCTATTAAAATATTAAAGACATTTTTAACATTTAAACATTTTAACATTTAAAGGATGGTGGTCATATGAAACATAGGTAGTTAGTTAGCTGCAGCCCGCAGGGCATAGCTGACCACTGAGAATGCAGCCCAGCTGTGTCTTCATGAAGTTGCCACTTTATAAACCCCAGTGAGGTATTTTCTCTTCTTCAAACACTATTGTAGTAAAATATTCTTAATTCCTTTATGCTGTGTGGTATTCTGAAAGTCTGGAAATAGATGCGTTTCACTTTCATTATGTTCTTTCAATTATGTCTTTCTGAAGAAATATATTGGTTTGTGTTCCTTTTGAGAATCCTCTGCTGCTTATATCTGTGTGACAGAATCAGTTCTCTGTGCTATGAAAATTATATATAGAACTTACCTGTAGAACTTCATCTTTTGTGTGTGTGTGTGTGTGTGTGTGTGTGTGTGTGTGTGTGTGTGTGTGCGT